AGGAGTAGTAGGACTAGGAGTAGGAGTCGGAGGAAGGGGAGGAGTAGGAGGAGGAGGAGTAGGAGGAGGAGGAGGAGTAGGAGGAGTAGGAGGAGTAGGAGGAGTAGGAGGAGTAGGAGGAGTAGTAGGAGTACTAGTAGCAGCAGCAGTGCTATTCCTATTGCTATGATGATTATTCATACGACTGATATTATGAGTGATTAACAAAACAACACAGCTACTGTTGGCATGCCTTGCTACTTCTGTTACGATCGTTGTCATGTACTTCATTGCCACCGGCAGTCCACAAGACCCCGGGAAAAGCTGTCGTGAACCGCTTTGAGATTCTTGCAATCATGGGCCTATGCCCTAACTCCTGAACCTCAAAACCCTTAGTTCCAAGCCCTGAGACGTGTAGTTCAGGGCACTGGGCTCCCTGGATCCAAACCTCCCTTTGGATCAGGTTAACGTCATTGCACCCCCATCCCGCCAGCAACATGGCAGCGAGGATGTGCCATTGAACCTTAGGGTTTGGATGCCAGCTTCGGGCTTCACGGTACGGTTGATGATATAACTCCTGCGTTGCTCATAATAAGGAATATACCATCTTTCCCATAGTTTAAGGTCCTGAAGGTAATGCAGGATTTAGATCATCAACAGTAGGGCCGGTAGCGTCCAGTGTGTTCGCACAAGAGCTTAAGCAGCAGGGACAGGCCTTCGACGTTCGAGTCTTTGGGACTAAGAGGTTTAGGGTTTAGGGCTTCGGGTTTAGGGTTTAGGGTTTAGGACCAAAGCTATGTAGGGGTGGCTGGATGTCTCGGGCTGACAGAGATAAGACTCGGCAAGAACATCTGGTGACCCCCAAAACCCCCAAAATCCCTGAACCCTAAGCCCTAACCCCCTAAACCCCTGAACCCTGAACCCTAACCCCCTAAACCCCTGAACCCTAAGCCCCAAACCCCTAAACCCCTGAACCCTAAGCCCCAAGCCCCTAAACCCCTGAACCCTAAGCCCCAAACCCTAAACCGTAACCGAAGGGCCTTACGTCTTGCAGGCAGTGCCTTGTTCAGCTTTAGGATGTGGGTTGATCCTTTGGATGCAGCAACCTTCGTGCTGAGGTAACCGGATCATAAGGTCGTAAGGTCTCGAGGTTTAGGGTTTAGGGTTCAGGATTTACGCTATGAGTTTCCACGGCAGTCGTGAGTCTTTCTTTACTGTAGCATGTCGGGGCTGCAGGTTCCCATGTTCCAGCACCGCAGGCTCTGTCTGCTTTTGGGTCCGTCCGCAAGCTCGTATGCGTCGAAGTGAAGTGAAGAAGTACGAGTTTTCTGCGCACACTTGCTTGCTGTTTTGTTAGTCTTGTATTCATGTACTGGAACCCATTTTAAATCTGTGCTTACACACGGCTCACTAATACATAAGCATATTTGCCGTTTCAATCAGCCTTATACCCGAAAGGCCTGCGGGCTTCCCAAAATAATCACATAAACCAGGCTTACACCCTGTAGATGCCCTACTTGGAGGTTCATGGGTAGTTATAAGTAGGGTTATAAGTAGGGTAGCTATGCTTATAATCCTACTTAGGGGACTTATAACCCCACTTATAACTACCCATGAACCTCCAAGTAAGTAATATAAGCGCCTAAACAATTACCAATACCATCTTAGTAAGTGGGTAATAAGTACACTTATAAGTACCTGAAAAGGGATCCTAATTGGGCTTATGGTACTTATAACCCTATAAAATAGCTACTTACTAAGTCCCCTGACCCTCCAAGTAGTAAGCTTTTGAGTGAATGCCAGTAGTCGCGCGTGGAGCCACGCCCTAGACCCCAATCCCCACGCCTACATCCCAAATCCCTACTTGGAGGGTCGGGGGACTTAGTAAGTAGTTATTTTATAAAATTATAAGTATCATAACCCCAATTAGGATCCCTATCCAGGTACTTATAAGTCTACTTATTACCCACTCACTAAGTCCTCGACCCTCCAAGTACACCCTAAACAAACGCCCAAGCGCAAAGCATCTAGAAGTGTACAGAAACAGAAATAGGTCGGAACATTGCACCGGGGAGTCTCTATGTAATCTAGTTGTACCTATAGTCTCCATTGTAGTTTTTTTTTTAACCAATTATATATTCCGGATTTTATAAGGTATCCCCAAAAAGGAACTACAATGCAGACTACAGGTAGTAATATTCGATATTCCCCAACTGCTACTGCGACTCTCAGGGCCCCTGGGTTTACCCTTCTCCTCCTGTGGTATCTTGAACTTCACAAGCCCACAATCACTGATCCCTGAACTGCGGTGCAGTTTTTTGGGTGTAGGACTTCTGGGCAACCCATCCCACAAGTACGACCCTTAAAAGCCTAAGAAGAGTTCATAAAACATATGTAGCGCTCTTATAGTCGCATCGGTTGACATGGTAGGGAGTCGGGGTCGGGTTTTGTACTTTAGGTTTGGGAATATATTATGCTATAAGTATAATGAGGAACCCCCAAAACCCTATTCTAATTGGTAAAGCCCCCTACATCAGGGCTTCGGGTTTCAGGATTATTATTGGCTTTAGGGCTTATAGGGAATTTACGTTTAGGGCTTATATGGATTATAGGGTTTAGCAAAGGTTTAAAATTTACATAGGGACCAGCTGAGGCCCATCCCATACTGACCACAAGGTACAGCACATGGGTGGGTGGATCAACTCTGGCCTCATTGCCGCTTTTTCGTTCTACCTGGATTTCTCGCGGCGTGGCTTACAAGGTCAGGCATAATATACGGGCCGTAATAACTACCTATACATTTTTTTTTTTTTTTT